ATACAAAGATACTTCGATCTCTCACATTGCTAGCTAGGGATTTGATAGAGGCTTTTTACACCATTTGTTTTATGACGTCTTTGGGGGGTGGGTCAACGATGTTGGGCCAAATCAAGCTTCAAAACAATTTCTCGTAATTGACAAGTTGTATTTCTGGCTAAAAATAACCACGTGTGTGTCTGTGTGCGCGCGCGCGCGCGTGTGTTAGAATCACTTTTAAGAGATAATGATTCCGTTTCAAATCTTCTTAAGTTTCTTGTCTTCTCTTGTAGTACCGAGCTGGCCATCTTCACGCGCTATATGCTGGAGGTTAGATAATTTTTTTAAGTAAAAAAATGAAATCAAAGAAAAAAGGAAAAAGCTTAGATGACAAAAGAAAATAAAATGAAGAAGCTTAGATGACAAAAGAAAATAAAATGAAAGCATGTTCAAAGAAAACTTGAAAGTGCTAGTAATGTATTTTGAATTTAAAAGAATGTTTCAAGATATCATAAAAACCAATTTAAAATAAAACAAGTACTTAAAAAAATTAATATGATATATTTTTTATTTTAAAAAAATATCAGAATAATGTTTTATTGGATCAATCTAGATTTAACCTACTTCATATGACTATAATAATCCTATAAAAAACAACTCGAAACAAAAGTGATCTTATAGAAACTACATTAAAAAAATACCATGAACGCCAGTTCAAAATAAACAAAAATTTCAATATGATAATTTTTTTAAAAAAATATTAAGACCACAATATATTGAATCGACCCGGACTTCGCGAATTAGATTGTCAGATTTATTACTCTTGTCGTGATTTATATGGAGTTTAATAATTTTGCTTTTAAATCTTTTTTTACCTAAATATTGGGAGAAAAAATTAAATATATCTAAAAAAATAAAAACAAAATCCAAGGATTAAATTGAAAGAAAACAAAATTGAAGCACTTTAAAAAATTCCTAAATATATATATAAAAGTAAGAATAAAGCTGAAAAAAATAATATTAAAGGACTTAAAAAAAAAAACACAAGCGTGCGAGCTTAGATAAAGTGACCAAATATGCTTGGTCCTTTGAAAAGAGAGCCAAGATGTGTGGTGCTTTTAGTCTAGGCCATGCCTATGCTCTCTCTATGTATAAAGGACATATAACATGTTGTATAACTCGTTTTTTTTTAAAAAAAAGATATGAATGACCTATTTGTTGCGTATTTTTTTTAAAGATATGAATGACCTATTTGTTGCGTAGAATCCAATTACAATAAAAGTGACTGAATAATCAAGGAAGCTAATTTCTTTTTACTAAATATTTCACTTTCTAACCATTTTTTACCTAAAAAATCTCGAAATATCATAAAATCCTTTATAAGCATTCCAATAACCTTAAGAAATAAAAAATCATTTGAAATAACCAATTTAACTGGAAAAAATATAATCCAAACTCGATTTTCTTTTCTTTGGATGTTTAGATATAAAAATAATCATCATCAAGCTCTCTTTATTGAATGTATTGACATTGTAATGGATTTTTTTTTGTTATTGGAATTGGTGTCAACTAACTTTTTTCTCTCTTATTAATTAGAATCTGACAACTTTTTCTCACCTTTTTAAAACCTATGGATTGAAAAATAAAACAAATAATTTTTAAAGAATTTGATGGATTGTAAAGGTTAAAAAATATAAGTAAAAGGAAGAAAATGATATTTATCTTGAAAATATAGGTCAACTATAACTTTTTTCTTTGTTCTCCATTTTTGTCCCCTGTGATTGAATTTTTTCTTTATCAACAAAATTATACAAATTGAGCATCTAAGATGCAACTGAAAATAAAATTAAAGACAAGAAACAAAAACTATAGTATCTACATTATTCAGTCTCATCATGCATTAGCTATTAGAGTAACTAGATATCTAATTGGTGTTTTGCCATGAATGAGATACATTATTTTTTTAATAAAAAAATGAATATCTCAACATTTCCTACAAATTTTGTGATGCAAAAAAAATCTCAATTGTAATGAAAATTTTATGCATGAATTTAATTAAATAAATTAAGGGTTATTTGCGCAATCAAAGAAAATTATAAATTTTGATTCCTAACTAATAAAAGTTAACTAATCAAACTTATTACCAGGTCTTTGACACAATTGGGTTTAACAATAGAAAAATAGATGCTAGCAAAATAGAAAACCAACTAAATATTGAGGTATTTATTTAAGATCGTGATAAAATTTAAAATATTAAACTGAAATAAATTATATTTCCTAATAAGAAATAATAAAACATTAAAGGATAAAATTAAAAAAAAATAAGTATGAAAACTAAAAAAACCCAATTTAAAAAAAAACAAATTGAAAGAAAGGTAAAAAGGATCAAATTAGGAAAAAAAACCAATCCAAAGAATGAAAAAAAGCCTAATTATGAAGGATCAAATTAAAAAAACACTCTAGAAACCTACAAAATAAAAAGAAAGGGAAAAAGTCCTAACACTCTAAAAACCTAGACCTACTATTTTTTTTCTTTTTTTTCCTAAGGTGTTTGCCCTTCTGTTTTTTTTGGAGAAAAAAGATGATATTTTGCCTACTCTACCTAGATTCTAGCAACAAGAGGTCATAAAAAAATTAATCAAGGTGTTCAACACCCGAAAAACCTATTTTAACCATTTTTTGATAAAAAAAAACATTCTAGTTTTCTAAATAAACCCATTTATGTTTCAAATAACCCAAAAAAATTCAAAAAAAAAAATCAATCTAAAACCCAAAAGCTTTTTATGGATAGATCCCAGGCAATCTGAAGGTACAAAAACACTTTATTGCAACTCTTTTTATCAAACATAATGTATAGACAAAAAGATAATCAAAATCTTTGTCAAATGATATTTTGATAATTAAAATCTTTGTCAAATGATATTTTTTTCCTAGCCAATAGAATTTAATGATTTTCTATCTTTTACCTCAAACTAGAAACTAAAAAATAAAAAAATAGAGTTTTGTACTGCATTTGAACTTTTAAAATTTTTATTGATAAAAAAGTTATTATTTTTTTATGTAAGAGAATCAAAGTATACTTTTGGTTTCTTTTTTGAAACCACTACTTTTCCTCATTTTTCATTTTTTTTCCTTTTGTTTAAATTTTATCCCTTCTGAACAATTATTAATAAATTAGCCATGATATTTTGGAATAGAAGACATAATTGAAAAAAAACAAAGATTAAAAACCAAATTGAAGAAAAAACTATAAATACATTGAATTGCTATAATGAAAAACCTATGTCTTTTAGAGTTTCTTATTACAATTACAATTATAATATAAATATATTTATAATTATAACAATTTCTTAAAATATAATACCCAACAAATCATAATAAACAATACTAATTAAAACAAGCACAAAAAAAATGAGATAAGGATCCACAATTACCACCCAACCTCGAGTATATGAATCAAAACACTTTGATAGGTGGATACTTATGGCTTGTTCGACAATATAACTGTAGTTATTTTTCAAATAGGTTTTTTTATTAAAATATATATAAATGATATTTTTTTTATTTTTTAAAAAATATTTTAGTTATTTTTCAAATAGGTTTTCTTGTCAAAATACATATAAATGATATTTTTTTATTTTTTTAAAAATTATTTTTAACATTAGCATATCAATATAATTTAAAACACTAAAAATATATTAATTTAAAGTAAATAAAAAAATAAAATTTTTAAATCTTTTTAAAATATTTTTAAAATAGAAAAATAAACATGCCCTTTACTTTAGTTATTGCAAAGTAAGAAATCATATGACTATGGTCAAATAGTTTATGTGAATTCACTTGCAATTATTACTTGCTACAGACCAAAGGATCGATGCGTCAATAAAACCTCCCATGATCAAATGTCACCTCCAAGGCAAGAAAATTGCAACAGAGGTAGGCAAAATCTCTTGTCCGATATGCCACTGAATTTGGTGCCCAACACGTATAAGCCAATAGCCGAATGACTAGACACGATCCTGCAAGACTTGAGCCAAAAGCCGAAAGACTAAACCCAGCCTTTCAAGACTTTCCCCTGGCCTGGTAGGTGCAGCTAGAGGTAACGTGGCTCAAACTAGCCTGTCTTAACATTGACACAACTTCAACACTATGCCACCAAAACTTCAGCACTAAATTCCACAAGGAGGAAAAAAACCACGTAGAGAAAGCGAAAAAGATAGCTAAAAGGGAGATGAGCTCATTTGTGCTAAGCTCTAATCATTGAGTGTATTCATTAATTAATCAGTACACTTAAAAAGATTTTTATTCAATTTTTTTTTATATTTCACATTTTCACATCGAAACTATAAAAAACACTAAAACAATATTTATTTTAAGAAAAAGATAATTTTAAAAAGTACCTAAAGAGATAAACAAAAGTTGGGCCACACATCCTCTAAATATACTTCAGTGCAGCATATCACAAATATGGATTATAACGTGTATCCATAATTTTTTTTTATATCTTATTCATTATACATCATATAAAAAATTTAAATACTTATATCATATCAACTAGGTTTTCATATATCCATACATACATATTATAAATGATAAAATTTTAAATGTATTATATCAATATTTAATTAAAAAAATTAATGTTCTATAAATATAAAAGATTAAGTTTCGAATCGAATATTGTCCAAAACAATATTTATACTTGTTCACTACACCATCCAAAAAAACCACTCATTCATTCCTATAGGTCTTAGATTAAATTTATATCCCTACTCACAAGCTCACTAAGAGACGACTTGATCTTCTTTTAGTGATATTCTTTTAAATTTATGCAGGTTTAATTCCTGCCCTCTACCAGGTCAGGATCTGACAAATTAAGGGATAACAATGGAATGCTCAGAATGATACTAGCTAATCGTGCATCCCCGTGCCCACCTAACCATTTCTGAAAGAAAACAGATACTTCTATCTGAAAAGTCCTCCCGGCAATGACAACCCTTTTCCTTTCTGGAGATTCTTTCTAGTAAATACAGAAAAACATATGGAAGGTATTCTACATAAATAGTTATTTTATCGTTTGAGGAGAGAAAAAACATTAGCAGAGAGCAGATACTACATTTGATTTTACTAACACAATCTAAGAGTGAGCATTAAATGAACAATAATCAATAAAGAGAGGGTAGGTTAAGAAGGAAAAGTAAATATATAACACTTGAGAGCAACACTAATATGTTACTGCTTAGTTAATCGACTAAATCCTTCTTCATTTCATTGACCCTTTCTACCCTCTCGAGATAAAAGGTGAGCTTGATGATGTAAAAGAGGGAGCCGTAGCTTGATAAGCTCTTTGCTTGAAACAATCCAAAGACATTCGAGGTGGCGATATAGCTACGGTAGTCGCCGATGAAGTGGAGTGAGCACCGGAGTCCGGTGGAGACCCTATAAATAACCCCACCCCCAACAAAGTTAAAAAAAAAAAAAAGAATCACGAAGTTGATTATATGATTTTGAGGCTACATGTATATATATTATCTGTGCGTGTGTGAAAATTGCAAGTGGAGCTTACTTGTGAGAATCTCAGATGAGGTATTAGCAGCATTTTCTAGCTGTGATCTCTGATTTTCTTGATTAACTTGGTGTGATTTTCGCCTGCGACGATTGTGATCAGCCAATCTCTTTCTGCAACTACGCTTTCCATTATCAAATTCCGAGAGATTATGAAACCTGGACAAGATCTTAATGTAACTAATCACTATCAATCAATCAAAATTAACCTTACTTCGTGTTGTTAATTAGTTGTATATTGTCTATATATATAAATATATATATGAAGAGAAAACGAACAGCAGTACGTAAAAGAATATCATGTTGTCTCCATAAGAACATACGGACACAAATGCCCTCGGGATTTCCAAATGTACGGCACAACCAATCATTGGAAGCAAAACATGTATCCAGGGGTATTATCGTCAGGCAAGTCGTTTTGTGACCATGTCGGGCTGTCAAAGACAGAAAAGGACTCCACGAGACAATTGAAAATAAGAAAGTATATGGAGGTTGTATTTGTAATTTCAAATTACTAAACTGCATTTTATTAATTAAATTAGACTAATTCAAAATATGTAATGCTGCATTATTATAACAAGTAAACAGGAAAAAAAAACAAAAAACAAAAAAACAAAATGTTATGCTAAACGGACTCAAATGCCCCCGCGATTACCCCATGCATTGCCGACCAATCATCGGCCACATCATAAACACTAGAAAATGAAATGATAAAAGGGGTATTCCCGTAATTTTCATCACGGGGCCGTCATCCTCACCCGCAGTTCATCTACAAAACGTGGTGTGACATGGAGAAATTTAATGGGGAGGGCAAAAATGTAATTTCAAAAGAACCTGCTACACTGCTGGCAGAATCGCTGAGTCAACCCGGCTGCGATGACAGTAGAAGCTTTAGAGTGAAACTCACAGACTTTATGGCGTCTATGGTAGTGTTTAGCATGGGTAAGATCAGCATTGCACCCTTCAGCTTGACATCTTACAGCATTTGACGAAGAACCGGGATCAAGGGGTCTAGACCGGCGGGGGGGGGGGTTCACAAAATCATCCTCAGCCGAAGAAAAATAAGTTCTCCCCCCTAAATTCAGTCCTATCCTTGAAGTGATCAAATCAGAAGGCCGAGAAATTTCCTCGTTTTTTGGTATAAGGAAATAAGGGGATGCAGTTGTAACTGATGTGATTGGCCCGGCGGTATAGCCGCTTCACAAAATCATCCTCAGCCGAAGAAAAATAAGTTCTCCCCCCTAAATTCAGTCCTATCCTTGAAGTGATCAAATCAGAAGGCCGAGAAATTTCCTCGTTTTTTGGTATAAGGAAATAAGGGGATGCAGTTGTAACTGATGTGATTGTTGGGATTGAGTCAAGGGAAAGAAGTGAGGGATGGTTGGCGGAATAAGAGGGGGCACCGGAACCGGTGTAAGCTCGAGGGTCGAAAAGAGAGTTGAAACTATGATGTGCAGAGTTGGTGGCAGTGGGGTGGTTCTGAAACATTAGGTTTGAAGAGGTTTGTTGAGGGATGAGGTTGTTGTCGTTGAAAGAGTGAGTGGTGTAGTGATCGAAAATGTTGGCTTGACGATTTAGGTGCTGTACTTCTTGGTTGCTCGCAGCTTGTTCATCGTCTCCTGATAGCATTATTGCTGATGGGTTTCCCCATTCGTACTCCAACATTTTTGTCTCAAGATAATATCGAAAGCTTAACCAATCTAGCTAACTCTACTTTACCTGTAAAAGACACCAAGAAAGAAAGAAAGAATTAGTTATGATCAAGAGGAGGGAGGGTTATAGTCTTATAGATGATAAAGAAAAGAAGGAAAAAGGAGATTGGAAAGATTTGATCTTTCTTGAATATTATTTTGCTTTGATTGGTTTTGTTGATGTGGAGTTTCTGCTTTCTGAGAGGTAGAAGTGTCCTTAGGAGGAGACATGTTGGGGTTAAGCAGTTTGTGAGTTAAAAATAAATAAATAAAAAACTCTCACCTATGAAAAACTGAGTCAGTGAACTGAAAAAGAGAAGCAGAGAATGCGAATTTCTATTTAACTGGGGTTGGGGTGTGCATTAATTTAAACTCTCAAAGTCTCAATCTTCTACCCTCCCCTCCCCTCTCTTTTCTTTATTTAGCTCCCTGTCTACGACTTTCAAGACAAACAACCCACTCTCTCTCTAGCTAGGTGAGAGTCTCCGAGGCTGAGAGAAACTGAGTTATGAGGCGGCTTGTGCAGAGGTAGGTGGGTGGTGTATGATGAATATCAAAACTACTATTTTACCCATATGATGGTAACATATTTGTAGTTAAAGCCACTACAATCAAATTCTATGCTGAAGTTCAAAATAAATGGCTGGGGTCAGATATTAGGGTGATTTTACATTGATTTCAAGTATTTGGTGACTTGACTCTCCTGTTATGGAAAAATGAACTTATTGCCTGTAATTCTTTTAAATTTAATTGAGGTTATGATAACTTGTAAGTTATGGAACAAAAACCTACCAGCCAAGCTCCCAGCCGGATTTATAGATAATTCAGTGTTATTGCTTCTGGTAAAAGGGCTAACAAGCAAAGCGGATTCTTGCTGTTTTGCCCTTGCTGATCTTGATCAATTCGCACGGAAGGGTCATTGTGACTGCCTGCGTTTAAGCTTCTGCACTCCACATTGCCTACAGATCTATTATTTCTAATCCCTGCTTTCATTTTAGAAACTCAACGTGCCTTGTGTATTTCGAAAGGGACTGGACTTGGATAGCTTACGATGAAGTGTTTTTGCCTACTTCTTACAATTATGGAATATGTTTGATAGAGTCATGGTATTGTGCTTGTTAAAAAAAAAAAAAACACAAAGCATTGGAGATAATTACAAGATGGGATTGTCCCTTCTCGCAACCACACTTTCCCTTGTGTTTAAATAACTTTTGTACTGAGAACCAAACTATTTGTGCATGATATGCCCGTAATTATAAATGGTCATTTCTGATTTATTATGAATCAATGAGATGTATAAAAACCATAATTAGAATCAACTGTTTGCGAAAATCCTGTTAAATGATCTTTCTATTACCAACTTGAAATCCATAGGGCTGATTAACTTAAACTTCGACATGTTTAATTAAACCTAAATCAAGTTCCCTTCGTTGCAGGCTGAATAACAACGTTCAATAAATGAAAGAGGCACAGAAAGAAATCCAAGAGGCTACGTGAAAACCATATCAATATTATCTTGTTTGAATGTTTCGAAGCTAAAGTCCGATCAGAGTTCCACATCAAAATGCATGGTCTGATGAAAGGCAAAGCAAAAAACTTGATAATTGAAAATTATTAAGTCATGAAAACACATGTTGAATATGTGCAGACATTTATGGGGACAATTACGAAGAAAAGAAAAATAAACAGTTGAAATATACAACATGTAGTTGATATGAAAATCAATAAAAGTATCGATGGAAGAATTATAAGAATTAAGAAAATCCTTGTATCATCTTTACACGGTGCTCTAAAAAAGAATTGGAATGTCTGATACCACTTCATCATGAGGAGTTTGGAGCTAAACTTTCATAAGAAAGAATTTAGAGAATGGCTGATCACTCCATGGACAACCATCACTTTTATCTCTACAACATCCAGGCTCACCACTGCAACGGAGCATTCACATAACAACACCATGCCAAAGCCTTAACTGTTGGCGATAAAAGTGACTCACTCTCTGGAGACAACCAAGACAAACATCAAGGATAGTTACACATGGGAATACAGATCATGATAAACGTTGTACAACTGGTATTAAGGTGTAGAATTTCTTCCATGTATAGAATGTTGATCAATTGACAGTTATTAAACATCTCTAAATAATAAAGTCTCCAACACCATATGCATATTTCGTTGAGGAACTCCATATCAACCATAAGATGGTGAAAAAATAAATAAATAAAAATATGAAAAACATAACAAACAAATTATTTGGTTAAGATTAAAAAAAATTTGAATAACTTTTTAAAAGATTAAAAAAACTCTCTGAATTAACAAAGTTTGAGTGATTTAAATCATATTAAAAAAAGTATATCAAAATTTTTAAAAATTTTTTATATAATATTGGAAATTGAGTTTTAAGCTCAATTGTAAGGTATTTTGGGTTCTATATTATTAAAGTTAATTTAATTTTTTTTTATAAAATAAGTTTAAATTTGGGTTTTGGAATACCATCTTTCTATTTTTCAATTATTAAAAATAGTTTCAAGGATGATAGATTATTTTCCTGACTAGATTACCTATCATTTATTAGTTAAAAATATACAAATTGTTATTCAGTTGAGTTTATAAAAAAGAGAAGTACAAGTGCATAGGTCTGGTCTTCAAAGTTTTTTTTTTCAACTGATCAAGTGTGTGGGCCATACCTTACTTAACATTTTTTTAGTAGGCCAGACATACAATTATAGCCTAATTTTTTAGCCTTTTCTTTTTTCTTTTTTCTTTTTATTTAACCTAATTTTTTAGCTCTTTCTTTTTTATTTTTTTATTTTATAATAAAATATACTTTAAATAAAATCATTAAAATTATATTTATAATAAAATACACTTTAAATAAAATCATTAAAATTATATTTGAATAATTTTTGAGTTTTTTCATGATCTGCAGTTAAAATTAGAGTTTTTTTTTAATGGTGATACCAATAATTAATCTATGAAAAAAAATTAACCTGATATATAAGATATTTTAAAATGAAAAAATTGCTAATGAATATTTAATAAAAAAGAAATAGTTTTTGTCATGCTCAGTTTTTTATATAGTTTTCTCATGTTAATTATTCTTTTAGTTTTTCTTCGTATGGATTGCGGTCAAATTGTAAAAGACATGTTTTTTTTTTTTAATAAAAACTTGTCATAATGGTTTTTTTTTTAAAACAATTATGCTTCTTGAAAAACATGTTTTCATTGAAAAAAAAAAAGGAAATGCATTTTGTGATTTTTTATTAAAATAAAAATATTTTTCCTCAATTTTAATTGCTACAATTCTTCATAATATTTATTTTAACTGGCTCTTTTAGTTTTTCTTCATATGGGTTGCGGTCAAATTGTAAAAGACATGTTTTTTTTTTTTAATAACAACTTGTCATAATGGTTTTTTTAAAAAAACAATTATGCTTCTTAAAAAACATGTTTTCATTGAAAAAGAAAAGGAAATGCATATTGTGATTTTTTATTGAAATAAAAATATTTTCCCTCAATTTTAATTGCTAAGATTCTTCATAATATTTATTTTAACTGGCTTCAAATATTCTTCATCAAAAGAAAACAAGTTGTTAATAAAGAAGATATTTCTCATCAAAACAAAAGAGAAATGTATGAATAAGGAATATGATTTTTTACTGCCGGAATGCATTTTTCCTTTCAAATTAATTTTTTTTGCTTTATTGTGAATATTTATTGTAGTTATTGTATAAGTTATTAATTAATTTTTTTTAAAAAAAGAAAACTAGCCGTTCTAAAATATAAGGGAAATGAAGGTTTTACTTGCTTTAGGATTTGCAAAAGAATACCTAAGAAAGAAAGTTATATCTAATATCTATGCCTTTTTGATGTGGCTGGCCTGATGTAGGGCTTAGGCTCATGACTATTATACTTGCATCCCAAATTCTGTGAATTCAGACAAATTTACTAGGTTTTATCGCATGTTCTTTACAGGCTGCTGGGAGACAGCAAATACTTTGAGTGGTCCGATGAGAAATGTCTCCAAAGGTTCAATAATAAGAAGCTGGGTGTCCTTTTATCCATGTTTTTCTTTGGACATAAATATCAAGAATTTGGAGAGAAAAAATAGTGTGCAAATGCGAAACAAGAGCAAGCATGCATAAAGTGTTCTCAATAATTCTTGCATGGAGATAAAAGTGACAGAAACACGAGTTATCAACACCGAAGGTCATCTCATTGAAAATTGAATGCCCAAGTACTTTACCTGTATATGTACTTAATAGCTCACATCATTCTTTTCAGTAAGCATGTGGTCGTTACTTTCATTGATTCTTCTACCCCTCTGTATCTTTCATGCTATAAAACAACAACAATTATAACAAAAACCAAAAGAGCTCAGTTATTTACCATGCATATGAGTGTTTTAATTGTTAATTAGAGAGAAAGCGGGTTGTCTCTCAGGATAAGTTGTCAGCAAATTGTTTTTTGTTATTTTTTCTTATGATATGTATGAAATGCTATAAGTTACTAGGTTGTTTGTTTTCAAGGAGTATTTGATGGCTTATTATTCTCTTGATTTGTTCAGCATAAAAAAACTGATAATTAGATACAAGTTTTACTCGTGATGTACTCAATTGGCTGATAATTCTTGAGAGAGTAATACTATAATGAAATTAGATAAGATTTTGGTTGATTTTACACGAAATAATAATAATTGTTTTGTTATTTTTTTTCTAAGGTATAAATATCCTGTCACTGTACAACAAATCAAGAAAATAACATTGACTCCAAACCTAAATAACTTGGTCTAACGCTTTAGACTCAAGTTACTTGAGTCAACAAGAGTGTCAAGTTATACCATTATTAGTGTTATTCTTATTGTTAATATTAGTATTACCACTATTATTGTTAATAATAATAAATTTAGAAAACTTATTATTATTATTGAAGAAAAACCATAAATTTGACTTGAAAGGATTAAAAACTATAAGAAATTGAGTTAGACAAGTTTAGTACTATTGTTTTTACTATAAATATTATTATTTTTATTATTAATATAGAAAAAGAGTTCTATAAAAGTTATTTTTTCCTTTAAACTTGATAAAAAAATAGATTGAGATTCATGAGGTTTTTTTATTCAATTTGTTTTTTGTTTTTTTTACATTATTAAATGTTTTAAGTTACAAATGAGTATATTGAGATTTATAAGATGCTTATAGATATTTTTAGATGAGAACAAGTTAAGATTTGAGTTTTATTTAATGTGTTT